TAAATCTAACCATGCGATGCACCATGTGGTGTGCTAAAATGGTGTATTGTGTACCAAGCTTATTTTTTTTGAGAGAAATTGTGTATCAAGTTTATTATTACTTATATGTGTTATAATTTGAGTCAATTTGATACATCACAAACAATATATACATGCTATGATGATGTTCGTATTTTGAAATTTATTTTTTTTCGAATACAAACGATAGTCTAAACTACAAAGGGGAAATTGAGTATCTCCCACACGTACTACCAAAGTATTATGAGGGTTCGAACCTGAAATCACTAGTCTACAAACTAAGACCATTTTTCATTGAGCTAGACCCTGTTGGCTGAAAAATTATTCATATACCATGAAGTTGAAAATAATATTACATTCGAGAGTTTTGATGTGCTTTTGAAATTACCTATTCAAATACATCACACCACTCAATAATTAATGACAAAAAACACGAATTATATGAGCCCTTTTTTTTATATAAGTTCACTAACAATGCTCATAGATGACGCTTCTCAGTAATGCTCTAATAACTAAAATTAATTTTAAATTTTCAAAATGCCAACTAATGCGAGTGTCTTTCTTTTATTTTTTTCAAACATCGCTTTAAATCTTATTTACTCAGCAAATAAAATAACTCAAAATCTGATATATTAAGTATTATTTCAAATTTTTGAAAAATAATTAATAACTCAATTATTATTAAGGAGCAGTTACATTTCGATGTAATATATGGGCATGTTTCCTGATATGCCCTTGGTCATAAACACTAAGGACGGGTGGGCCATCAGCACTAATAGCAGGGGCATATCAGTCCTCGCGATAGCAAAGACCGAAAGTGAGCCAGCTGTTTCCTCCATCAGCGTGACTCGTCATGGGGTCCGTTGATCAGATATTCGTAGCCGACGGTCAGGATCTCGAGAGAGCGAATTTGAGGTTCATTTAAGCTGAATTTCATTTGGGAGAGCTTCCTTTTTTTAAACGAGAGGGCGGGTACCTCAGCCATTCTGTTAAGACAAGAGGCAGACATCTCCAGAGAGAGAAACAGAGAGAAAGATTGTGTTCTATTTCCATTCAAAGGTATTCTTTTTTATTCTTCTTCATTTTTTTTAAAAAATTTAAATTTTTGCATTTTATTTTATTTTTTTATGCCATCTTGTCTGGTTATTGGGCATGATTGTTGAAAACATTGATGGGTTTTGCTTGATCATCTCAAAATTATCTACATTTATGATTTTTGAAAACATTGATGGTTTTGCTTGATCATCTCAAAATTATGTTCTTGAGGTATTGGATTGATATTTCCTCTCAATTTTGATGTTTTAATGATGATGATCTGCATAACCTGCTTGTTGATTTGATTTCCCATTATTTTTAAACTAAGCCAGCATCTTTAGCATTTCTTATTCCTGGGTATCAAATTGGTGCATCAAATTGCACATACTAATAATCTACAGATGCATATGAATGTGATCCAAGGGATGAGCACTTGTTTGCTATAATTTGATGCAATGCTGGTTTGTTTCTGCAGCAGGCAATAGAAAATGGCAGAATCTGAAGATATTCAGCCTCTTGTTTGTGACAATGGTACTGGAATGGTGAAGGTAATGAGCCCATAACCATTCTTTTGTGATCCCAAAATGGCTTTTCTTTTCAAAACCATAAAGGAATTTTTCTTTAAGGTTGATCATAGTATCAAAGTGATGAATATTATCTGATCTTGATGATGCAGGCAGGATTTGCTGGAGATGATGCTCCAAGGGCCGTATTTCCCAGCATTGTTGGTCGCCCTCGCCACACGGGTGTGATGGTTGGTATGGGGCAAAAGGATGCCTATGTAGGGGATGAGGCTCAATCAAAAAGAGGTATTTTGACCTTGAAATATCCGATTGAGCATGGTATTGTTAGCAATTGGGATGACATGGAGAAGATCTGGCATCACACATTCTACAACGAGCTTCGTGTTGCCCCAGAAGAGCATCCAGTTCTCCTGACAGAAGCACCCCTTAACCCCAAGGCCAATCGTGAAAAAATGACTCAAATCATGTTTGAGACTTTCAACACTCCGGCTATGTACGTTGCAATCCAGGCTGTCCTTTCCCTATATGCTAGTGGACGCACAACTGGTAAGCCATTTTAATTGAGTACTTGATTTGTTTTCTTTCTAAGATGCATGGTCATTATATGAAAAATATATATAAAAATTTGAACCAAAAAAATTTGCAATGGATCTCATAGGAGAATGAATACAGATGTAAAATAGACATTAATTTGTTTGCTAAGTTGAAAACACAGAGACAACTGTGTGCACCTCATTATTAAAACATGTTCTTATAATGGGGGAAAAGAATCAAATTCATGCTTTCAAGTTGGTTTATCAAATTTATCATATAACTTCCATTTCCCTTAATCTATTGCGTAGCTGCATTTCATTAAGTAAGCTCATAGGAAATCCTTATACCACCTATTGCATGATTGCATTCATGATATAGCGCAGGGGAACCAAATCTCTTTGTACCACCTATTGTGTTCATCATTTAAGCACAATGGTACCAGATGATATTTGCAAAAGTACTGTGGAAGAATGCTTAAAAACCTTGAATAAATGAAATTAAAAATTGGTTTTTAAACTTTGATTTCTAATGTTTTGTGGCCATGTATGTTTTGCTGTTTAGGTATCGTTCTCGACTCAGGGGATGGTGTGAGCCACACAGTTCCAATTTATGAAGGGTATGCCCTCCCACATGCCATCCTTCGTTTGGACCTGGCAGGTCGTGATCTTACAGATGCCCTTATGAAAATCTTGACTGAACGTGGTTACTCTTTCACCACCACTGCTGAGCGGGAAATTGTGAGGGACATGAAGGAGAAATTAGCATATATTGCTCTTGACTATGAACAAGAGCTAGAGACTTCAAAGACCAGCTCATCTGTAGAGAAAAGTTATGAGCTACCTGATGGACAGGTGATCACCATCGGGGCTGAAAGATTCCGCTGCCCTGAAGTCCTCTTCCAGCCATCCATGATTGGAATGGAAGCTGCTGGTATCCATGAAACCACATACAACTCTATCATGAAGTGTGATGTTGATATTAGGAAGGATCTCTACGGCAATATTGTCCTTAGTGGAGGCTCCACTATGTTCCCTGGCATTGCTGATAGGATGAGCAAAGAGATTACAGCATTAGCTCCAAGTAGCATGAAAATTAAGGTCGTAGCACCACCGGAGAGGAAATATAGTGTCTGGATTGGAGGCTCCATTTTGGCATCCCTCAGCACCTTCCAACAGGTAATGTGTTGTGTGTGTCTGTATGTGTGCATCTGTTTTACTCACTCTACTGATGCATTTTAAAATTAGAGTAACATGACCCGAACTGAATTTTCCGAAAGCAAAAAATGTTGGTATTTGTGAAGAACATTGTACTTAATTGGAAACAGCTGAAACACCTCTTTTACTTGACAAAGTGCTAATTTGATGCCTCATTTAGGAGGTAAGTAATGTATTTGTCACTGAAAGCTACTTGTCTTTGAATGCAGATGTGGATTGCAAAGGCAGAGTATGATGAATCTGGTCCCTCAATTGTCCACAGGAAATGCTTCTAATCATGCAAAGCAAGAGGTGGACAGAGAATTTACACTTAACAGATTTTGTATTAAAGAAAGGCTTCTATTTAAGTGGTTGCGGAATTTCTTTTTCTATTCATTTTCCAATTTCATTCATGTCTATTTCTCTGTGTTTGTTATGTTGGGACATGAACATGGAGGCGAGCAAATTATGATTAAGATTCAATTTTTTCATTACTGCTTTGTTGTAGAGAAATTATGTATTGTTACTGATTTGGTTTGGTTGAAATCAGAAATCCCCTTCATTATTATTACTATTGGTTCTTAGATGAAGCTTCTTTGGTTGGCTGAAGAGAACCTATACCTTTCATTTGTGATGCTTTTTGCTATTCAGATATCAATTATGTCATTATCTCTATATGTTGTGACAAATTCTGAACCAGATACGTTCGAATCCCAAGAGGAAACTGAACAGAGAACAAAATCTGTACTTTCTATTTGGCTTTTGGACCCAACAAATTCTGTACAAAATGCGGTGGATGGAGTGAATAAGAAATTGGAATTTTCTTATCTGTAGTAATGATGTGCTTGGGTCAAGTCCACGTTGGTTGCCATATCATGTACCACGTTAGTTGGTATCAAAATATTGAGGTCGGCAATACCCTAAAATCACTTTTTCAACTCCAAAATAATCATCATACACTCCTCCATGGTGAAAAAAAAAAAAAAAAATTGAAAAGGAAAGGAGTTCAAGATGCTTATTATGAAGGGCTAATAATAGTTCCTTTCTTAAAAGACTTTGACCTAATTACATCAATGCTAGACATAAAAAGAATCCAATTTCTCACTCATTCGTTCCAGAGCATTTGGAATCTTTGTTGCTGTCTCTATTTATGGCACGGCCAGAGACAAGATATTCTGACTTTGTGCCTAATAGAGACAGATTTTTATGGGTGGTACCTTTAGCACCAACAAAACCAAGCTGGAAAATGTGCTTTTACATTTCCTAGATTTTAAGCAAACCTGACAGGTATGCTCAATGATAGCCTGATTGGAACATGCCAAAGTAAGTGGTGAAGATGTCTTGACTTGTAACCCAAGTATTATTCTTTCTCACAAAGCAAACCATTGGGTTTTACTATTGAGTTGGGGATGTAGTGATGAACTGCTATAAAAAAAAAACAAGGGACAGGAAAAGCAACAAGCCCAACAGATGAGCTTAATGGTATGTTACACAAATAGGTAAGGTGTGAGAGATCTATATCATGGGATGTTTGTTCATCTCAAACGGCCACAAGCCATGATTCTGAAATAAGTTTCTTTGATACAATCAAAAATCGAAATCACATAGTTAAAGATGATGTTTGGTATGGTATATCAAATTTCATCCCCAAGAACTGTGCAGTCCTAGTGAAAATGAAAAACAACACAGTGAAAGATGTTCATAACAATGGCTTGCCTCATAAAAGAAGATAAGCTTGATATTCTCCATTTCAGACTTACACCATTGATTTTCCAGACACTTGTCATATGGTAAAACTCATCGAAGATGACAAATTACTTCACTAGCTCCACATCCTTAAGAAAACTAACAGTAGCTAAAAGCTTAACAAGAAGATTTATTAAAACCAAACAAATTTCACAACTTTTGGGTGTATACAGACTCCAATTTATGAACCCCAAAAAATCTGAAGCCCTCCCATAGCTTTGCCTAGGGTGCATAGTTTTATGGAAAGAAATCACTTTATATAAGAAACTTCAAAAAGGAGTAAAGTAAAGCTGGAAGAAACAACCCAATGTTAGAAAAATGTTGAAAGAAAATAAAACTTGCTGACCCTGGTCTCTTACCAGACCCAGCAAACCAAGTTACTGGGTGTTACGGACTTCACATTTATATCAATCCTTGAAAATGTTAAAACTTGATGGCCCAACAGTGTCAATGAACCCCTTTACTGACAGCTCAGGTGCTGGCTGTTTTTTCTCCAGCAAATCATGATCTATAAAAATGACGACAATCGTAATATCATCGTGAAAGAACCGCCTAACTCCCTTTTCAACCTTCTTAAGGTCATCATATCTCATCTCCCGTTTCCTAGCTGCCTCACTCAGAGCTGTTTTAAGAAGTCTTTTTGCAATTCCCTGGCATTTGTGAAAACAACAGAAAAAATTACTATTGATATCTATATGATAAAGGGAAAAATTGACAAAAGAGGCATTGAAAGAAAAAAAACATACTGCTCGAGGATTATTATGTACAATCTCCACAGCTTCCTGATTTGTCATGTGCTCCCATAGTCCATCGGAGGCAAATATTATAAACTTATCATTGGGTTGTAGAACTCTGGTACATACAGATGGTTCTGCTGTAAGCACAGGCCGACCGAGGGGTTCAGGAAGGTGGAACCTCGGAAAAGTAGGATCAAGAGAAAATTCTGGCCTCTTTAAGTATGCATCACCGATAGATCTAGATACCTGAGAGGAAGCATGGAAACACACAAAGGGAGAAATATAAATAATTAGTAATAGGTTGTCAATGATCTTATCTCACTGGAAAATAAACTTTATAAAGTACACAACAGAGGAATTTAAATGTCCGACTTCCAGTGTGCATACCAGTTAATTAAGCAAGCACATAGCATTTGGAGAGGAATGAAGAAATACAACACAAAAAACCTAGTCCTGCAGAGTCTCAATATACATGACTAATGCAACAATAACCACTAACTGCACTTGGACTAGAGAAGGGGTAGGAGGAGCGTCATAGTATCAAATTATAACTGCTAATGCATTCATTTGTCTTTTCCATACATTTCTTGAGAAGGCATGTACATATATTACTGCAATCCTTAAGAATCCAACACAATTATGGTAAGGTAATTGCAAACATTTACAAAATTCGTAAGCCATAAATCACAAATGGACTCATTTTAGAAAGTGGGCATCCTTTCAAGAAGGACGTTAAAAAGGTACATCAAATATCTTTAAAAACTAGAAATAAACAACCATGGCAGTTAAAAAGAGACAAAAAGTGAGTAAACCTGTATGATGCCTTTGATACGCCAAACTCCATGCTTCATAACTACAATATGTGAATCATTTGGATGCAAGGACCTGAGTTCTTGTCTAACCTCCTCCAAACTTGCATTATGCTCCTTATTTAGCTGCTCACCAACAATCTTATTCGATCTACCTAAAGAACCAATTACTGCTCTCGAGTCTCCTAGATTAGCAACATACAACGTCCCTCTCCAGACAACTCCAACCAGACAACAAGACCCAATTGCTGCCATTAATGGTTTTATTCCACAAGTCCTACGCACAAGAGTAAGGAACCCATCCTCAGTTGCAGAAAAGGCACTTCTAAGGATATCTTCAGATAGGGCTCCTTTTTCTCGAGCATGTCCTGTAAACACACTTAAATAAGTTACGATTTGTAAAATCCCAAAGTACTTCAAGTATGGCACAATAGCAATTGGAGGGTGAAGCCTAGAATACAGATAATAAGCGGTGGTGCAACAAAGAGTATCAAACACGTCTATGTTTCAAGAGAGACCTTCAATGTTGTTGAAGTGTCTGGCGAGTAAATTCCTCAAGGGATGTTAACATGTACAAAAGAAACGCCTGTATTCTTAAACTATCTTCCTCATCCACTTCCACAATCACATATAGCTAAAAGCCTCTCTATTGGGATCTCAAAACAAAGGGTCTGACTCTAGAGTGGAAGAGAATGGCAATGCAATAAAGAAACACAAAGATCTCTATACACACACCAGAAAAGAAAGAAAATAAACTGCACTCAATAAACAAAATTCTTATTATTTTCTATAATTGAACATCCAAGTCTACTCCAAGTATGCAGAACAAAATAGATAAACAACATAACTCAACCTCCAATCGAGTCCATTAATGGAACCAATTTTCTCACCCAACTTTTCTTTTTCAAGATAAATAAGTTGGATTTCTTCAAATAGCAGCACCAAGACAACCCCAAATGGCAAAGGACGAGTCGGGGATGCAGAGAAGAAAAAAAAAAATTCCCAAAAATGAAAAAACATACAATTTAACCAGGAGAGAAAGCCAAGACTCTGCTTCAAACACAATTCACATTTAAAATGATAAGATACAGGAACAACAACAAGAACAGAAGAAAACAAAACAACCCCTTTTTAAAAAAAACACACACACACAAATTCACAAAATTACAAACAACTACAACAATCCCAAGAAAAGCCAAAAAGAAAAAGAAAAGAAAAAACCCAAAAACCAGAAACCAAGAAGAGAGGGGCTCACTCATAAGATGAAGAAAGAGATGGTCAGAAATGAAGCGAGACGCGTCAGGTCCACCATGCCCATCATAAACACCAACAAAGGTGGCATCACGGCCAGTCTCAACTTGGCTCTGATCCTCAAGAACTTCATTGGCCTGGACCACAGCGAAGGAGAATTCACCATAGGAGTGCTTGTCAAGGCTTCTGCACCATAACAAAGGATCTTCAAGAGATGAGTCATCAAGATCATCCTTGCTCATACGGGCATATCTCCTCACTGGCTTCCAACACGTCCACGCTATCCTTGCCAGCCACGAAAACATCCCTCATTTCCCAAACCCAACACTGCTTTTACTCTGTAATACAACTACCCCTTTGCCAATATGTAGTGTTTTGTGTGGGAAAAAAAAAAGTAAAGGAGGATGGATTTGGTTCACTTGGTTTAATAAAGTTGCAAAATTTGGGAAAGATTGGAGCTTGGGATTGAAAAAGCCAAAAGGGGTTGTGATTTTGGGAACAAGGACTTGAAAGGCTTGGTGGGTTTGTGTCTCTTCTCTGTCTCTGTTTGTGTATTGAGAGAGAGAGAGAGAGAGGAGAGAGGAGAGAGGTTTTGCAGAGCAACTACTACTGGGTGGAATGGAAGGGGAAAGTTGACGAAAGCGTGTGAGAAGCACTCTTTTTTCTTTTTTTTTTTAGTTTTGTTTTTCTTTTGGTTTTTCGAAATGGTGTTTTCGATTGACGAAAATGCCATTAGTACGATGACTAAATTACAGGTATACCACTGACTCGAGATGATAACCGGCCGCGGATTTGGCACAACTCTGTTTTCAAATTATTTTCTTTCCTTTTTTGTTAGAATTCAAATTATTTTCTTTTGTGGGTCTCACCTTCACATTATTCATCTCACTATCATCCATTGTCTGTTTCTAAATTTCTCATCTTATTTTAATTTTAAAAAATATTTATAATAAAAAAAATATGACCGAAGGCTACTAGCCATGATGCCCTCATTTTTGTAATTTTTGTAAATATCCATTTTAAAATTGAATAGTTTATTCATCAATGAGGAGGGTACAATTGAAGTCATCCTTCACATGAATACTCAAAATAAAATTTAATTTTTAAGGGTTTCAAAAATTCAAATCTTCCCTTCTTCTTTAACCTTCTGTGTACCCCAAAAAAAAAAAAGGGTTTAAAAAAAAATTATTATTCTTTTTTGTTGTTGCCGAAGTTAGAAAGAGGATAAGGAAAACTCATACACACGAATATCATAGAAGTTTGAACTCAAGACTACTTAATAACACACCATAAATCTAGGCCAATTCTACTAACACCACAGTGGTGCACATTCATATTCTTTGGTTTTAATATTAAAATTCTGAATTTTTTTCCTTTTTGTCTTAAAATATCATTAATGGGCAGAGCTATGGCCCTATGGGCCTCACATACTTTTTATAAATAAACAAATATAAAAAAAGTGAAGCTTTTCTTTAGCATATATACATAGGCTTTAGCTTCTTGCAATATCACCCATGTGCAAGCCGCAAATGACTACGAATTGATGCATAATATAAGCTATACAGCTTATCTTCTCCAATTATATACAACTAGAAAACTAGTCACAATATTATTTTCTTTTTCTTTCTTTTTTTTCCTTTTTTCTTTATTAAATTTGAGAAGACTTTGTTGACAAAAATATATTCGATCAGATCCCAACACCCCAAAACACGTGTGAGTGATTGGGTAGGTGTAGGTGTAACCATGTAAGCTTATCAGAAACTAACTTTTGTCCTTTGGATGAATGGAGGAAATGCAGAGGCAGAGGCAGAGGTAGAGGAGGGCAGAGGGCATGTTGTTTTCCAAGAAAGAAAATAAATAAAGGGAAGATGGTAGGGCTAAACACATGAGGCATGTGAAAGTGGGATCTTTTTTTTTGGGTGTTAAAATCTAAGCTAAGCTAATCCATACAGAGGCATTCATGGGATGGTGCAGTTGCAATTAAAGATGTTGTTGCCACAGATGGGATCACATTTGACCCCATAAATCCCATCAGATGGGTTTGTGTTGTTGTGGTCAATGTCACATGTACAAGTGCTGCTCTTTTATTTGGCCAACAAAATGGGTGGGTTGGAAGCTCCACTCTAAAGTAAACTCTCCATGAAATGTAATGTGCCATAGATAGGATAAGGGCTTGGGAATTTAGGGTAGTCTCCAAAATCTTGAGAAATAATCTTCTTTTGTTAGATTTATGTTGAGAGATTATCGGATTCTTGCAAAAGTCTATTTGATCGATAGTTTAAATTAACAATTTAGCAATTAAAGCAGCCTATGTTGTCGAATAATCTGTCAAAATCTTTAGAAATGATGTTCTTTTATTAGATTTATGCTAAGAGATTATTGGATTCTAGCAAAACTCGATCAAATTGATAGTTCAAACTAATAGTATGACAATTGAAGCATCTTATGTTGATCAAACAATCTGTCAAGATAATATTGAATATTTTTTTAGTTAAAGAACTAAAATGGTACTTAATTTATTCATTGTGAAAAAAGAAACAATATTAAAGATTAATGAGAAATATAAATTGGATGCAAGATTTACACAAGGCTGACTGAGACCTTCCAACTAGAAATTTCTGGAATTTAAGAGACTCTGTGAGCTAGGCAATGTCACTTATCAAACGCTTGTGTCTATTGTAATGCTTCTCCATGAAAACCTTTGAAGCCCCTTCTATGGTCCTTCTCCATGTCTGCACAATAGATAACAACAGAAGAAAAAGTGTTGGGGGGTGAAATGTTAGAAATCAATGACATCAATATAAGTTGACTTTTGTTTCCCACTTGTAATATAATATAAACATTTACAAGTCCTTTATCAAAGAAGACATTTTTTTTATGTTTCTTCTTCATATCTCTTATTTCTTAATTATTTTTCCCTGCCCCTCCGTAATAAAAATGGAGGTGGGCATAGGTTAGCCGGCAAATTGGACCAAGCTAGTGACAGCTTTACCAGCAGAAAAAATGCTGCAACAAAGAGTTGCTGCAGTTAGAAGAGTGAGAGGGGCAGAGTTTGGTGAGTACACTAAGCTAGCATATGGATGGGAACAGGCTAACAGATGATAGGGTTTTCTTATAGTTGGTGTTAGTTTTTTACCAAGTGCTAGAACTGCTTGAGCACGCAATTAAACAGATAATTATGGGTACAAATACATTGGTAGCCACAAAGTTGTTGATCAATATGGTTCCAATTTGCCTTAATTTCCTGAGAGGTTAACTTTTGTTGTAATAAAGCACCTAGCAGGAAGGAACCCTTCTGCAAATCATGTAGCAAGGCTTTGGAATGTAACACCATAATATCGCAGCCCACACACAAAGTTAAGACATGATAGCTAACATTATGTGGTTTAAGTGGAAAGGCTAACTAATTTCTCAGCAAAGCTTTCATTGTCCCGGTATTTCAATCCAATCACGCATGGTCACCTTAGTTAGTCCATTGCAACAATTATGTGGTTTAGTTAGCCCATTGTAACGGTATTCCAATCCAATCACTCATGGTCATCTTAGAAAGTTGATTTGGCTTGGATGTTGCTACATTGACATTCCTTGTGGTGTACCTTGTAAGTAACTTTTCTTTTATTGGCTTTAGGAGACGGTGAATTAAAAATGGCTGTGAGGGATTTTGTTTTTCAAAGAAAGTAAGAACAGCAATCACTTACTTTTGTAACCCCAATCACGAAATTCCCATTGATTGCTACACTAAATTTCAAGCCTAGAGGTTTTTTCTTATCTGGGTAATAATTACATTTACATTTACTGATTTAAACACAGTTTAACACACCCATTTAAATTAGTTGGATTTTATTTTTCACCTTAGTTCATTGGCAAATTGGCGACTAAAACAGATAATTAACTCGAAGATTTGATCAAAACATGGGATGTAATAAAATAAAATCCAACCTTGTGAATGGCACCAAAGAGAGACTTGTTCCTGATATCCCTGGCCCTGAGTTGTGATGCCCTGCCATGAACCCCAAGTTGCCTAAGCAATGCCTTGTTCTTAGTGCCAGCAGCAGGAAGCAGAGACCTCCTCTCCACTAAGCTGCTCTTGCCATTTGATGGGCTCTCACATTGCTCCCCTTCACCACTTGCCCGGTTTCTCACTTTCCGGCGTTTCGACATCCGAATCACTTGTTTCTTTTCCGGGGCCTCCTCAGCCTCATCCCCTGAATCAGCAAACTTTCTTAGCAGCTCATCGGAGGACTTCTTGTTTACATGTTGAACACTAGCTGAGGTAGCAGCAGGAGCTGGAGTTGGAGTTGCAGTAGGAAGAGGGTCCATTGTAAATTTGTGATTTAAAAATATGAGAGAGAGAGAGAGAGAGAGAGAGAGAGAGAGAGAGAGAGAGAGAGTGTAAATTGCAATGTGGATGGATTTTATGTGTATGTTGTTGGGTTGGTGAATTTAGAGCTTAATGAATGTGTGGGAAATGGACCGTTGGGGTTAGTGAATGATTTGAATAACAAGGACTTGGAAAATATAGCCGTTAGGGAGAGAATAATAGACAAAACTGTCTGGTGCAAGGCAATGCAATGTATTATTGGGCATGTGATTTTGTGGACATTACTTAGCGTACCAAAATTCCAATTTGCCATTTTACATGCGCGCCCCCCACGTTCACGCTGACAAGTTCTGCAGATGATGATGGCGTCAAAGTTGGATCTGGTTCGGTTTTTGGACCTAACAACGGTAATATATGGGTTTGGGTTTGGATACTTTGGGCCAGAAGGCCCACAACGGTTAAAGGGCAGGCTTCTAAGTTCTAAATGCACCCAAAAAATTTGATCGGTCAGGCTCTTGTTTACGGTCGGTCGGTTTATGGTTTCATAAAAAATTGTCGGTAACCACCGATTCTACCTCTAATTAGCACACCCAACCTTGGGGCATAATCAGAATATTTTTTTTTTATTTTTTTTTTTGAGTGTTGGATGCTCTGATTAATTCTTGGAAGCCATAAAAAATTGTATCAGTTGATAAAATCTACTAAAGTTTGAAACTTCATTAACATCTTCAATCACCAAAATGCCTACTTGAAAATAAATACAACAAAAATTACACCAAAAGCCAATTTTATAAATATAGGATACTCTATAAGCAAAATGTTTAAAATAAAAAATAAAAATAAGTGGCAGGTTTTGGCTCCACAGATTCATCCCATTGGGCTTTCTCTTCAGGGGATCTCCACAAATGCTGTTAAGAGGATGTATTGATAGCCACAAACTACTGTAAATCCTTTATAACATTTTGGAAGCCTGAAATTACAAATTTCCAATTTTAGTTGAGAAAATTTCAGTAAGAAGCTGCTGAATGTTGGCTTCCAGACATGCATTTTCATATATTTATTTAAGATAAATCAATGTCAACTTGTCAAATGAAGCAAAATAATAGGCACTTCCATGAAAGGAACAAACAAGAGCATTGGGAGCTGATGCAAGTTAGATCCCCTTGCCCCTCTTAAAATTTTGACATGTAACAATGACTGACTAGTTATTGGTTGAAACTCAATAAGTGATTCTGATATTCACGTAGGACTAGTTAAAAATCCATTGAACCCAGTTTTAAGTCATCAATGCTCCTATAAGATTACATCTAAATATTTTCTCATTGATAATCATATGTGATATTTTCAACTGAAACAACGCAAATAACGTGTATTTCAAAAGATGAAGCATGGCACTGAGCATTATAATGATGTGTTCTTTCAGAATTTGTATTGACTGGAGGCAGCAGATTACGAAGAATTCAGAGCTCTAATTGATAAACCTCATACCGTGTTGTTATGAGCTGAAGTGAGTCCCAAAACTGAGCGTATGGCATTCAAGATTTCCCAAGTTTAGCTGCAAAATTGGGAAACAGAACATTTAAGGGATCAAGGTGTCATTATAGACAAGACACGACAAACATGTCTAACATCAATACTGACAAACACGTCTAACATCAATACTGACACCAGAACTTATTCCTCAAGAACTTTCAGCTTGCCTCGAATATACAACAACTTACCACAACAGCAACTCCTGTCTCACAGAATTTAGGAATGCAAATGAGTCTCACCATCTGCCCTTCAGATCCTGCAATCGGAAGGTTGTATACTACTCAACTGATAGAAAAAATAAATAATTAAATTTTTTGGCATGAAAAGTATTATTATATAATATGATTACTAGAGTTACAGTTGACCCCCAAAAAAAATATTAGAGTTACAAGATATACCCTTTATTAAGCGGCTATCATATTTATCCTGATTACCAATGAAGTAAACATGAGGGCAACTCTCAATCAGGAAAGGATCCCTGTCTGTGAAAGGATAACACCCTGAAAGATAACAAGAGTATTAATTTTAATCTCAAATTAGAGAGGAACTCAGCCTAGCTGAAAATATCCAAACCAAAAAACCACTTTAACAAGACAAATTGACTCGGATGACCAACAAAACCACACAAGCAGAAGGTAAAATTTCATACCAAGAGTATTAGGTGCTGTTGGTGCCAGATGCCTCCACCTCAATGTCCTTTCAACAAATTCAAGTTTATCCTTTGCTTCTGAATACTTTTCAAGATCATCTATATTTTGACCCGATGTTCCAAGAAATCTGAAAACCACGTTACCAGTATGTCAAAATAAGTACCTAATAAATAATACCAAAACAAAATTGTTGATCAACAATGCCAAGAGTCAAATTCGATTTACAATTTTACCTGATATCATCAAGATCAAAGCAATGGGGATTAGTACATGATCTAAATGTGTTATAAGCTGATGACCCAGGGAAAAGGCATCGGTTCAAAGGCTGAAAGGAAAGGAATATTAGCTACAAGCAAACCTTCTGCGGCAAGGAAAAATTGCTGCATATATACTTTCAAGGACATAGATCAAACCTGCTGCGGCAAGGCAAAATTAGCAGGGTCATCGAGACCTGGCATGATATCCAAAGGCAAACCTGCAGCAATCTAGCATAAGTAGATTAAATTAAGCAGTCTGATTCATGATAGGAACATAGGCGCGGTATTGACTAATCAAACTGATAAAAAGAACCTGAGTCAACAAAATATCCAGCTCCTTAATTGGCTCAGACAGCTTTGATTGATCCTTTGACGCTAAATTCTACAAACAATGAACAAAATGACTATTAGAAAGAAAACTACTACATTTTGCTTGGAAATTTAAGAAACTAAACTACAACACTTCTAAGCTTCCCATTTTATTATTTCAACAAAGATTAAAAGGAAAAAAATCAAAACTATATTTAATCACATTGTCGCCTCTGCACCTACAATTTATAAGTAATCATTAAACAATTATATTCTGCCTTATTATCAGGGACGTATAAATGTGTTACCTGTCCATTAAGAAGTCCTCGAGGAACTTCAATAGAATTTCCAGCAATAACAACATGAACTATTTGTGCTGCAATACCTTGCTCCTGTTCAACGTTGTACAAAGTTAGTATGTTAAGACAGTTTAAAACATAATGAACAGCACATGATCTTGAAGGTAACGATGGCATGAACCTTCTCATCTCCTAAATGTCCTGTAATATGATCAACAAGAAGCTGTAACTGAAGAGGGTTTGAAAAGCTGCTTCCAACACGAAGTCCAGACACAAAGACAACATACTTGTCTTCTCCTGCATGCAGACAAATTAAAATTAATGAAAAAAGAAAATTGAGGTAAAGGTAATAGTGAAAGATGCTAGAACATAAATACCAGAGGAAATGAGAAACTAAATACAAGACAATTACTAAAACTTAAAAACCAAAGTAAATGAGGATCGAACAACAAATAGCGACTTCTGTTTTTCTTTTAGTTTCTTTATGAGCACAACATTGTAATTTTATAGAAACTGAGGAAACCTCAAGAAAGTTCAAAGGGACTAAAAGCAAAGACTTTCCACTTTATACTCGAAGGTTTCAAGTTATATTTCCTGTGAATTTAGCTCCTCTCTAGACATATTATCTTACAGCCAATGTTGTCTGACATATTTCTGCATAAATTCGACCTTTTGCTGTTTAGCTTCTCTCTAATCATCTCTTACCAATATAAGATAAAGGTTTAAAGAAACAAGTGGCCAAACACAAACTTTACAGAAAAGAAGAAAAATTGCAAAATAAAAGAGAGCCAGGTAAATCAGATTATACTTGATTTAAGTGGCAGCTCTATCTGGGGTGGCAAGCCAGCTTCAAGAACATCTAGGACTAAGAAGTCACCAGCATCAGTCTCCTTTCCATGCAAACCAACAATACTCCCTGTCACCATGTTATTGTAGAATAAGCAGCTTCAATATTGATTTCATATTAAATGTTAAAAAATTTGGACTCTTCCTTAACAAAATGAACAATTCAAATGTCATAATTATGCAATCAAAGGAAAACAAGTAAAATAGGCCCAACAGATTAAGCTTCATGTAGACTGAATCAAGACAAAGCAGATTAGAGTTTCCGAATAGCATATGGGACTAAAAGCCACAAGCACTTTATTGCCTCACAGAAGCCCAAAAGACCCCAAAATCCCACCAAAAGAAGGAAAAAAAAATTATATATATAGAGCATTTTTCTTTCTTTATTGTAGTATTTTGTTTGACACAGACCTGTTACATATACAGAAGGTGAAAGCATCCCAGCAAGCTTTACTCTTCCACTTTCATCTTCCAAAACCAGATGGTCATCCGGGTGCACAAAATTATGAGGCTTGACAAGTGGTGTCGTAGATCTCTGTAAAAATTGCAATATTGTTAGAAGAATTAAAAAAACACTCCATAACTTAATGACCAACACTGCACATGTACACTACCGTCTTAGAGTACTCATCAAGAATACAAGGTTTGAGTTTCATGTGCTTGTACAGGGTTCCAACAACAATGCATTCCTTGTCCTTTTCCAATCCCAAAACTGTGCAAACTACAACACCATACAGAACGCCTATTATATCAGATTACCATTTTACCAGAAACCCAAATCACTGTTACTTCAAACATTAACACAAATGTTTCACCGAAACAAAGAGCATTAACATAAACATAAATGAAAACCAAAATCCTAACAAGTAGCCAAAAAGATACTGCCTTGATTCTAACCCAAAGGCATGTACTAAAAGTTGACCCTCATATAAATCAATAACCAAAATACTAAAGGGGAGCTGTCATTGGCACTCTAAAATAGTCAGTCTGCAGTTCCCCCTTAAAATTGAACTTTTTAAATCTCATTTTTATAGGGTGGAGTAGAGGATGACTGTTTTGGAGTGTCAATAACAGCTCCCTAAAAGTTCTAACTTTCCGCACTTCCCACCCCTAATTTTAACACTGAGAAATTTTGGATTGCAGATTATCACAAATAAAAAAATAAAAAAAAGACAACAATAAGATAATCAGAGCAAAACCAGAAATTTTAACGAATTATGGAAAGCCAGTTTTCTTCTACAGACAAACCTATAAGCCATCAACTAAACCCACATTTCCTTTTCTTTTCTTTTTTTTCTTTTCTTTTTTTCTTCATTTTCCGGATACTAACAGTGCAGAACAACATGTAACAGGAAAACCGAAAACTAAAATTGAACAAATGCTGAAACAATTACAACAATCGAGAACCTGGTAAATGGGGTTTCCAATTAGGGACAAGGGAATAGAGGAGGGTCCTCATCATATGGAGACGTACAAAGTATATTTGGCTGTACTGCTGACCCCTGTACATCTCTTTCTGAATCTCAAACCTCTCGTCCTAAAATAAACAGAAATAAGAAATAAATAAATAAATAACTAAACAAAAAACTGAAAAAAGAAATAGTAAAACAGGACAATTGCTCTAAAACAACAAGATATAAATGTCCGGATTGAGCACAAAATTTCTACTTTCCGTTCTTTTCTCGTTTGTGTCTCGGCAACCAAACAAGGCGATGCGAAAAGAAGTGAGGTGAAGTAAATCTTCAAGGAGAGAGAGAGAGAGAGAGAGTACGGACCAGCAAGTTATAGGTGGAATGCTTTCTCTGGAGGTTCTTCTCCGAATCGATTTCCATGGCTTCCATGGCGGGAAAGGAAAAAAAAAAGAGAAGCCGAGAATTTTTCACCACTCGCTTTTGGGCTTTGGCTCAGCTACTCAGTAGGGCTTTTTATATGCCCAAAAAACAAAGTTATCTTGATAAATTTTCTAAATGTCGCATGAAGATCACACGGGGATGTAGCTCACATGGTAGAGCGCTCGCTTTGCATGCGAGAGGTACGGGGTTCGATACCCCGCATCTCCACTTACCTTATTTTTCAATAAAATATTTTGTTAATTTACAAATTCTGCTGCCAATATTTGAGAGGAGAGAGGTTCTCCAATATTTGTTTCTTTTTTGTCATTTTTAAACCACCAACTTGTTATATTTTATTTTTTATTTTATTTTTAATTGTAAGCCCAAAAAAAAAAAAAAAATTAAGTTCATGACAAGTTAAAAATAAGGGTTAGCTGAAGTGGCCACTTCTTTTTTTCTTCGCTAAAGTTATGAAGGAAGATAGAGGGTTTTTTTATACACACACATCTAAAAGTATCACGGGGGTTCAAACCTGAGACCACTAGTTTGCAAATCAAGATTTTTTTTTATTGGACTAGACCCCGTTAACAAGTGACCATTTTAAAAAGACAATAACTTTGGTTTTTAGGGTGGAAAAGCTAAACGAAAGAAGGAAAATCCATTAAATCTAATGACCCATACTACACAAGTTAACAATCTTACCACAATATGAGGCTTTGTATTTTTTTAGTATAGTTTATCTCCAAGAGTCATTGCTAATGGTCAAATCTCAAATGAGAGTAAAGGCTTAATACTTTCGTTAAGGAAGTTTATTGGGTTGTAAATGTTACAATTTTATATAGTAAATTAATAAGATTACACGAGTCAAAATTCTATTTGTTTTGAGGAGAAACTCTTCTTCGGTTTTTAAGGAGCCAAGCTTCTTCAATTTAAAAATGGTTTGAAAGGAGGATTCTCTTAATAACTATGTACCAACTACCAACTAGCATTAATTCGCTGATTTTTCTATATGGACTTTATGAAAAGAGCTCTCACGATTAGATTCACTTATAATATATATTAAAATGTAGAAAATTAACATGATTATGATATGATATTCTAGAGGGTAACCAAACCAGTTGTCAGTTTTTTTGTTGTTGTTGTTGGGCAGTTGTTGTTAGCATTATGACTATCTTATATTATCATTTCCTTTAAAATATGTTATTAATACTTTTTAAATGGGGTTAATTACAGTTTAGTACCGTGTGGTTACACTATTAAGACATGTTAGTCCCTATCTTCTCAATTTTTACAATCACATACCCTGATCTTTTAAATTTGTTACAATATGATTTTGCCGTTAGGGTTTTCGTCAGATCTCTCTGTTAGTTGCCTACGTGCAAGGTTTAAAATATCAATAGTATCGAAAATATCGGTAGTCCAAAAATAAGGAAATTTTGATGAAAATATCATAATATTATCGATATCAATAAAAATTGAATAAAAACTACGGACATTATAAGAAAAACTTGGAAATTTTTATTGAAACTTTGAAGGATGTTTCTTTGGTCAATTATCTATTAGTTTATCACAAAAAATTGGAAGAAAATGCATTGCATTATGGGTTTAACTGATTTAAGTTGATTATATAGCAAGCTGACAAACACTATAAGTATAGAAAATATGTAATAATTAATGAAAGAAGATAAAACACACCATAATCATTTATATATGATTTACTACAATATTATACACTTTATACATTGCATGGTAAGATACATGAGTGACTCAGTATCACATATAGTTCCTATGAGGTTCAAATTTTCACTATCTTCATCATCTCTATTTGTAGAGTAAGTGTATTGTGAATAGTAGTCATCAAATGATAAATCCCCAAAATAATTTTGCATGTAATTGTTAATATGCCACCCATATGGATCCAAGATTGGTTGACGTTGTCTATAAGCAAAATCATTTGAAGATTGGGTCTTAGATTCTTTACATGAAATGCTCCATTCCACCCCAAAACGTCAAAGACTTACATTCTCATGTAAAAATCTTATTCTTGCAAAAACAGTTCAAAACAAAACAATATAAATATACATATTTTAACATATTATCACAAAAACATAAGCAACACGGTGGTTAAGGCGTTGGAAGAGTGAAATGGCAAGAATTTGAATCTCATTTGCATGTGTGCTTTGTGTTTTTTTTCTTTTTCCTTTTTTTCATTACATCGATATTTTTGATATTTTCAATTTATAGTGATATTTTGACAAAATATTGCTAAAGTGTAAGCAAAATTATCGACATTGATATTTTTTGATATTATCGATATTTATACGATATATGTATGGATACGTTCCAAAATATCCGTGACCCAAAAAAGCGGTAATATCCTCGATATTTCGTTGATATGATCAATATTTTAGACTATGCCTACATGACACTATAGGTCCCACATTTTCAATTTGTAAGCCGTAGCTCTCTCCCTCTGTCCCTCCATCTCCGCCCTCCCTCTCCCCCCACCGATTCCCCCCATTCCCCCATGACAAAAAAAAAAAATAAAAAAAAAATCTCAAGACACCCAAAATTACAGCCACACCTAACCCACCCACCCAAATTCCACCACAACAGAACCCCTACCCCCACAAACCCTAAACCCACCACCTGCAACGCAACCACAAATGTAAACAATGTTCAAACCACAAAGGCTAGATATGGCCTCTCTCATCCCCATCCTCCCAACTTCATCGCCGACATCCCAACCCCAACAAAATCAAATTCGCCACTTTTTTCCTGGCACCTCATCAACTCAAACTCGCCCCTATTTCAAAAAAAAACAGATTATCTACTCCTATGTCTGCAAATTCAAAAACAAAAAATTGTACAAAAAAATTGAAAACAAAGATGAATTCAATCCAATACATGAGTTTTCTCTTTGTGCCTATAATTGTATCCGTTTAGAGAAAGAGAGAAAGAGGGTGGATGGGATGTGGTTGGGTGGTGGTGGGCATAGGGGAGGAACATGAGAACATGAGCGCGAGATAGATTGTGGCGAGGTTGTGGAGTTGGGAATGGGTCTGGAGGGTGAGGGAAGAATGAAAGACATAATAGAGAGAGGGAAGAGGTGGGTGGTGGTGAGAGGTGGTGGAGGCGTGGGTGGTGGTGCGGCGTCGCTCCAAGCCCACCATTGTTGTTCCATATATATGTTTTTTTATGCTGTGATGGTGGGTGTGGTTGAGAATGGTGGTTAGAGCATTTCTAGCAAAGGGACCAAGGGGAGGGCTGGGGGGTTTGGCCCAAAAACTTGTTTCTAGCAACAAAATATTGCCCGGGCCAAGGTGGGACCCAGCAACCTGGGCTGGTCCGAGGGCAAGTCTTGCCCGAGCGCTGGCTCGAGTTTTGGTGCTGACATCAACCCTGGCGTCCAAATTTTTTTAATGTTGGCACGTGCAACGCACGCGCATGAGTTAAACAAAATTTGAATGCACTGCTACAATGCCGCCAATGGCTTTCTTCCACGTGTTGCACTCTGGGCTCTCCGATCAGATTTTTTCCTCCAATCCAACGACAGCCAATTTTTGTGCAATAAAAAAATAAAAAAAAATTGAATTGTTTTTAACAAAAATACCAAAAAATTACTGATTTTTTCTTCTTCTATAAATACCAACCAATACTCGATATTAATTTTGAAATTTATCTGAAATTTGAAACCGAAAATCTTATCCGATGTGAATAGTATTGACATGTGGGAACCTAAAAATCTTATCCGAAAATATTATCCAAATTAATTGTTTAGTTAAAAAAAAAGTTGTGAAAAAAATATTAAAAAATGAATAGTATTTGTCATGGCAAAGTACTGCTGGAAACACACATTGTTTTTTGCAAGGGGCAGCCACTATTCACATGAATAGAAGCTGCCCTAGCCCCCCTTGCCATGACAATGGGCAAACTGCTAAAAGTGCTCTTAGGGAAGAGACGGGGGGTTAGGTTTGATTGGAAAGAAGGGAGAAAAAGGTTTAGAGAGAGAAAAAAAATAAAAGGATTTTGTTTGTTTTTTAAATGTTTATTAATATTTTATTCAATTTAAGAAAATAATGTAGGCCACAATGCGCCATGTCATCAGTTAACAGATTTTCTAATAGCCAATATAACTGCAAAGTCACATTGTAAAAAATTTACCTAATAAGGATATGTAATTATTAAAATTGAGAATGCATAGACAAACATGTCTTAATGGTACAACTTTAGGATACCAAATTAAAATTAACCCCATATTTACTTTAGCATTTCACATGCGTTGGTTTGGTTGATTATATAACACATACAAAGCCAAAGAAGTGGTGGCTGGTATCCGCTGTTATTTTGACAAGACAAGTACAAATTTTCTGGTGTATGATGACAAATGGGGTCTAAAATTTCCTACCTTTATAGCTTGTTTGCCCCGTAATGTCATATACTTAATGTAACAGTCGAAAGCATGAATAAGATTTATATTGTGGGAGCAGATATTTTCGTCTCCAATCACAACGCGCCACGTGGAAAAGAAGATTATCTCTTTTAATTAATTAATTGAACCAGTTTATCTGGCCAATTAATTAATTAGGATAAATATCTTAATTAACATGATATTATCTTTATTTAATAAGATAATATCATTAATTAAGATATTATCCTAATAAAGAGAAGATAATGTCATTATCTCATATATTATCTCCATAAAAAGAGATAATATCATTTAATTAAGATATTATCTCCATAAAAAGAGATAATATCATT